CCCCCAGTCCATCCCCAGCATCCTCCAGCCCTTACCGACCTCCTCCAGACCCTTCTGGCACGCCCCAGTCCATCCCCAGCATCTCCCAGTCCATCCCCAGCATCTCCCAGTCCATCCCCAGCATCTCCCAGTCCATCCCCAGCATCTCCCAGTCCATCCCCAGCATGCACCGTCCCCTCCTGGCACCCCCCCAGTCCATCCCCAGCATGCACCGTCCCCTCCTGCCCCCCCCCCAGTCCATCCCAGCCCTCCCAGCCCCTCCTGAATCCTCCAGTCCCTCTCCTTGCCCCGGTACTGGTTCTGTACAAGCAGCCAGAGCCCAGTGGGGACGAAGCTGCCCGAGGGGTGACACAGACCCCTGAATTCCGCTTCCGCCATAGCGGTGACAGCCGCCCCGAGCCCAGGGGACGCGGGACCTGCTCCCTGTCTGTGTGGCTCCAGCCGTGCGCAGGATGCAGCTGAGCTCCTGCCTGCACAAACCCATCTCCTTCCCAAATCGCTATGGCACCCAAAGGAATTCCTGGGGGAGCCAGCCCCCCCCCCCCCCCCCCCCCCCCGGCATGGGGGAGAGGGACACAGGCTCCCGTGTCCTGAGGCAGCTGGAGGGCTACATCGGACTCCTCTTCCTCCCACCGCAGCAGGGTTCGGGTCCCTCTGTGCTTACCCCATAACCCGGACCCCCGAGTGATGCTCATGGGTCTGACACAGGCAGCAGAGCCCTGGGAAGGGGCTGACCCTGGTGGCTGGGGCATCTCACAGTCCAGCATCGCCTCTGCGCACCAGTTTAAGCCAGTATCAGCTTTGGGCAGTACTTTCCACCCCGTTCATTTGCACGTGGGTATTTCCATCCCCGTGTCTCTCAAGGCGGATGCAGCCAGAGGTCCCGAGTTGGGACACGACCTCTCCCGGGGAACCGGAGATGGTGATTTTTGTTCATGCAAAGTGGCCTTGGCAAACAACAGGACCCAAAAGAGGGGTGCAGGGACCCCCCCCCCAACTTCCCTGACTGGTCCCTAACCCCCCAAAACTTCCCGCCTTAAGAGTTACACGCATCCTGCAGGAGCATCCCTTGGAGAGGCAGACAGGAATACTGCCTTTCAACCCTCCGCTTTAGGCAAATAAAAGCCTGCTCCTCCCCTTCCCCTCCAGATTTCCACCCCGGAGCTGTTTTTCTCAGCGCAAATCCAGGCAATGCTCAGCCTCAGTCAACACCCAGACACTCACATCCCCGGGAGAAAAGGGACAATTAATATGGAGAGTTAAAAACAAACGAGCGGGGGATGCAGCCACAATTTGCTCGGGCGTTCGCTTCTGCAAAAACTAATTGCTGCCAGCAGAAATCAACACCAATCAAGCAAATTAAGTTGATTTCCAAATAAATACTACATAAGCTGCCAGTGTCTTGACCTGAGGAGCTACAGCGAAGCCGGCGCTTCCCTGGAGCATCTCCCAGCGCCAGACATCTCCACCCGGCTGGACCATCCATCACCAGCGCCCGCCCTGCGTCCCCACCACCGTCCCCCTCTGTTCCTCAAACCACCCAAGACCAGGAGCTCCCAGTCTTGGGTTTGACCCTGAGCCAGCAAAACTCAAAGTACGATGGGGATTTCGCAGCGAGATTCTCTCCGAAGGGGAAAATCCATCGCACCCGGCTCGCGGGCAAGCGCTTCACCCGGCACGGGGATGGGCGGGAGTGAGGATGCGTCTCCGGAGGCAGAGCGTGTCCACGATGCCCCAAGGACCCCCTTGCCCACCAAACGCCTCTTTCACCCCCATCCCTGGCCACCCCCTCGCTGCAGCGTGCCCATAAATATTTAATGGCTATTTAATCACTGACTCCGGCCGGTTCCCCTGATTTCTCTTTACTCTAACCTAAAAATAACCTCGCAGCTGAACGCAGGCAGAGGGAGGCACAAAAACCCGGCCAAGGCCATCCTGCGGCAGAAGCATTAACTCCCCCGGATGGGTCTGCCCCACCACCATGCGTGGGCTCAGGGATGATGCCTGGCTCCATCCCGGTCCTGCCACCTCCCTCCGGTGCTGCCACCGGGGACTGGGGACTGGAGCCACGGGAAAACTCAAGGTCCTCGAGCCCCCAAAGCTCAGAGGTGAGGTTGGGTCATCCACACAACTCGGATAAGGTGCTGAGCGTCCGTCGCGTGTGCCGGAGGGAGGAGAGAGCCCCTCGGGTCTCATCCAGGCAACCCCTGGAAGCGTTGGGCATCGTGGTCCAGGCTGGACGCTGGTCCAAAGACCGCGTCGTCCCCAGGTTCTGCCGCCATCCGAGCTCTCCTCGCCACCGCATCCCCGGGGACACGCAGCCCGGCAGCTCGTAACCAGGATCCATCCGAGGCCAAACGGAGCTGCGGATTTTTTCCCGGTGCCTTTTTAGCAGGCGAGAAATGAAACATCAAATATTTATATCCTCAAATCGCTGCTCACATCCCCTGGGGGAGACGACTCTGAGCTGCACCATCCAGCGAGATGTGGTGAGACAGCCCCGCCGGTGCCTCCTCCAGAGCATCCCGGGCTCGTCCTGCCCCGGTGGGTGACCCGGAGTGGGTGCCCGTGTCCCAAACCCACGGTTAAGGGCAGCGATGCCCACCCCAGCTCTCAGCAGCTCACCCCCCTTCAGCCGAGTCGGGCTGGAAAAGCGGGATGAACTGAGTGGGGAAGGCTGGTCCAGCCTTCCTCCATCCGTCCGCCCACCGCTGGGAAAACCAAAGGAATCAAAGCAAAATGGGGGACAGAGTTTTTAAAGGCAGAAAAGCCTCTTTTCCTCATCTCCTGCCCCTCTCCCTGCTGCGAGCTCTCTGTGTCGGCATCCCTTCAGCGCGGGATGCTCAGGGCCCCTTTGCTCCTCGCTCCCAACGCATCCCCGGCAGAGGAAACCCCCTCCGGGGTCACATCCTGACCACACTTCAGTCCTGATTTGAAAATCACGGCAAAGCCCCCGCAAAGCGCAGGGCCCCGAGGCTGCTGCCCGCGGGGACGGAACCTTCAGCCATGAATATTTCAGTTCGTCAGCGCTGCCGCCTTGCGAGGAGGATAAAAATATCCCCAGGGCGGTGGGGATGCTGCCGGCACCATCCGAGGGACGCGGCGTCGCTCGGCAAAGCCAAAATCCCGCAGGGGTTCTGCCGACAGCGAGCCACCGGCACCCCAAAGTGCAGACGTGGAACCCAGCTATTTAAAGCTTGCTTTTCCCTCCTGCAAATCCCATCGGAAAAATCCCGGGCGGTGCTTTTATTCCCTTCGTCCTTATTTCGTACACGCAGAATAAAATGTCCTTATTTCTTGCAGAATATTCTCGCTGCACAGAGAATAAAACCTCAGTGTTTGAAGGCTTTATATTTCCCTGCAGACATCCTGGTGCGTGGAAAAGCATCCGCCCCGAGTGCCACCAAAGCAATGTCCAGCCCAAAATGTCACCGCTCTCCCCCGGGATGGGGGATACCACTTGAGATGCTCAGAAAGGACCAGGAAGAATAAAATGAAACCACCCCCCCCCAAAAAACTGACACCATCCTCCCCGGTGTCCCCTCATCGCCTGCGGTGCCGTTGGGGAACCAGCCGTGCCGTTCTGCATCTGGCTGCAAGCGCCTGTTTTATTCCCGATGGAAAAATAAAAAACCATATTGAGCCGATTCTGGAAAATTCACGGGGCTGTTTCAGCCGCCGGAGCGAGTGCCACGGCGCGCTTGTGCCCATCGTCCCGCAACCTCCAGGTGAGGGTGCAAGTTCCCGCTGGCTTGGCTGCTGCTGGAATGGGTAAATATATAAAAATAAAATAAAATAAAAAGCACTTTGCAGAGAACCTCTTCAAAAGGTTTTACAGCCGCTTATTGATTTCGCTTCCCTTTTTCCACCCCGTGGAGATAAGTATTATGGCCCCTTACAGACTGGGAGCAGTAATTCTCCAGAAGGTCGGGTACCAAGTGTGGGGCCGGGCTGGGATAAGCATCCCCCGTTCTTTCTACCTAGTGAAACGACCTAAATAAAATAAATAAAGCAAATAAAATACAAATAAATGATGTGTTCAGGGCACAGCAGAGCGCTGTCTGCTCCGGTTGGCCCCGTCACACTCACAGACTGGGCACCCCAGTGCCTGCGGGCGCTGCTGCTCTCCCCCCCAGCGGCACAGGAGGTCCCCACTCACCCCCGGTGTCACCGGTGGAGCAGCAAAGGAAAGTGACAGTCCCCGGGAAATGGAGCAGAAGGCCGGATTTGGAAAGGTAAGGAAATGCACTCAGCATCCTCACCTGAATCACAGCATCACAGAATGGTTAGGGTTGGAAGGGACACCTGACCCTGACCCTGATCCTTATCCTGACTGGAACTCTGACCCTGACCCTGACCCTAACCCTTATCCCGGTTCTGATCCTGATCCTGACCCTATCCTTGACCCTGATCCTGACCCTAACCTTGACCCTGATCCTGACCCTATCCTTGACCCCAACCCTAACCCTTATACTGATTCTGATCCTTATCCTGACCCTGATCCTGACCCTAACCTTGACCCTAACCCTTATCCTAACCCTAATCCTGACCTTGACGGTAACCTTAACCCTAACTCTAACCCTGACCCTAACACTAATCCTGACGCCGACCCCTGACCCTGACCCCTGGCCTGACCTTGACACTAACCTTAAACCTGATCCTGACCCCCACCTTAACCCTAACTCCAACCCTGCCCCTGCCCCATCCCTCCCGGTGCAGCCCTGTCCCTCGGCTGCAGACGGCCAC